TTCCTTCCTTCCTTCCTTCCTTCCTTCCTTCCTTCCTTCCTTCCTTCTTTCTTTCTTTCCTTCTTTCTCTCTCTCTCTCCTTTCCCCTCCCTCCTTTCCTCTCTCCCTCTCCCTCTCTGTCTCTCTCCCTCTATCTCTCTTCCTGTCTGTCTCTCTCTGTCTGTCTGTCTCTGCCTCTTTTTCTCTCCCTCTGTATCTCCCCCTCTCCCTCTCCCTCTGTCTCTCTCCCTCTCTGTCTCTGTCTGTCTGTCTGTCTCTTTGTCTGCCTGTCTCTGTCTGTCTGTTTCTCTCTCTCTGTCTCTCTGTCTTTCTCTTGCTTATATTTTGGAACCCTTTTTGTTTAGTAATAACTAATACAGAAATGTGACCCATCTCCAGGGGGTACTGTGACCTGATCATATCGTTAGCAAGGACCACATACTTTCACCGCAGCTCTCATCCCCAATCCAGTGTTAGGAGGTGTTGTGGGGAGCCCCCCAGATCTCTGACTCCCAGAAAACTGGCTGTATCTCACCCTGCCCCTTTTGCGGGGAGCGTTACTCCTTTCCTTATTTTCAGATTTTGGTGGTTGATTTAAAAGGTTGCATTCAATTGCACCTCAGCCCTCACTTAATCCCTCTCTAGGACACTTGGCTTGTCCAGTTCCTTCTGAATTTCATCTGAGTTTAGTTACAAAAACAACTCTGTGTGGTTCTTTAATTATTTTTTTCTTTTTAATTGACATCCATGTGTGATCTTCTGGGGAAGAGACTTCTCCTACCCAAACAGATCTCTGACCTTGTGTATTGTGTCACTGGTTATTGATACTGAGAGAGGCATGCGACAGGGGCATGGGCTTCCTAGTGGTATTAGCAGGCTGAGAGAGATTCCCCCTGGATGGAGAGGTCCCAGAGATGCTCTTGTGTGTGGAGGGTGTTGCACTGGTCACTTCTAGCCTCTGCATCCTGCCAAGTCCAGGCCCCTCTTGAATAGCTTTCATAATTATGGCAGCTAGGTAATGCAGTGGATAGAACGCTAGCCTTCAGGTGGTCAGGAGCACCTGAATTCAAATACAGCCTGAGACACTTACTAGCTGTGTGACCCTGGGCAAATCGCTTAAGCCTGTTTGCCTCAGTTTCCTCATCTGTAAAATGAGCTTGAGAAAGAAATGGCAAACTGCTCCAATATCTCTGCCAAGAAAACCCCAAATGAGGTCCTGAAGAGTCATATATGACTGAAAAATGACTCAACAGGAAGAAAATAATTGGGAGGTTTGTCCTGATATTGAGTTGAAATCTGTCTTTATGTAGATTCCTTCTATTATTCCTCAGTCTACCCTCTGGTGCCAAGCAATGCAAATCTAATCCTTTCTCCCTACTATAGCACTTTAGATTTTTTTTATTTTTTTGGCCGAATATGGAACTTTAGAAAACACTTTTGATGTCAATCACCATTTTGTTGTATGATGAAAGTAATGGATTGTGGTTGCCTATGATAAATTAGCTTTAAAAATGTGCCCAAATTGCTCTATTGAAAATTCGTTTAGTCTATAACATAACTGGCTGTTTCTGTTGTCTCCCAAGGCCACAGAGTTACAATTTTTGAAGCCAAAAACCAAGAAAAAAGATGCTCTGCGAGAGTATTTTACCAAACACCTCTCACTCTCAGAATTGCCAGATCTGGAAAAGTAAGTTCATTTCCCAGAAATGTATTTTGTCTACTTTCTGAATCGTAAAAATCCCGAATCGCTTTACTTACATGATAAAGTTTTGCTTGGTATTGGTTTTTCTTGTTTACAGACTTTGAAAGTGGTTACACTTGTTATTGGTTTAAAAGCATTTATGTTACAGTCCTGGTCGACATTTTTTCAGCCGGTCTTTCCAAGCCTCTAAATTATACATGTTTTTGACATCAATATATTTTATAGAGAATTTTAAAGGTAACAAGCTCGATGGTGTTTGTTTGTCTTTCTTATATATATATATATATATATATATATATATTCAGCATTTTAGAGATGGATGGAGCTCTTCTCCCATGTTAGGGATTTTAGCCCCTAGTGTAGGGGATTGGGCCTTGAGCTGGGGAACACCAAGAGGCGCTCAGGTTGGACCTCTGATTCATGCTAATTGTGTGATCCTGGCTGAGTCACTTAACTTCAGTGCCCCATGCAACTCTTAGACTCAAGTTGCAAAGTTTTAGTGATCCTTGGCACTGGCAGAGAAAGCTTCTCTCTCTACACCATTATAATCAAAAGTTCAGGCCTATGTACTGGGTGTCCCAAAAAGTCTTAGTGCAGTTTTAAGCTATTAAAGCTTAAATACCCTGTATGACTATGCCCTTTCCCCCCCTTTCCCTCCCTTCTTCCCTCCTCTTCCTCTGTCTCTCTTTCTCTCCTTCCCTCCCTTCCTCCTCTTCTTCTTTCTTGTCTCTCTCATTCACACACATAATTCTTTATTCCTTGTATGAAATAACATAATTCGGCTAGCATAGCAATGACGTGAAATTCAGAGAAATCTGAGTCTAAATCTATTTACAACATAGTATCTTCATGAATGAATAAACTACTTAATGTGGACTGATGGCAACTGATTTTTCTATATAAGATGATGGTGAGAGAGGTACTTTCTCCTCCATCCTGTGGCTTTGAGCAGATAACGTATTTAAGCAAAGAATGATAGATAACAATGCGTTATCTGCTGTTTAAGTTTTGTTCTTATGCAATTATTGCCAAGAGCAATGTTATTTGGTACCAAGATAAGAGTTTAGTGAATGAATGAAATCACATTTATTAAGTGCTTACTGTGTGCAAAGCTCTGTACTAATTGCTGAGGAGTAAGACAGCCCCTGCTCTTTAGGAGAGCGTATTCTAAGTGGGGAGACAGCCCATGGAAGGTTTCACTTACAAGTCAGAAGGAACCGTCCCATGGTCCTTATGCAGCAGCAAAGCTGCTTTTCTTGAATGTAATTTCCACTCATAAAATCCTATCAGTTTCTGATACTGAACCATTTGACAGAGCCAAGGAGTTGAGGGGGATGATAGCTTCCCTTTCTGGGTCTTCGGTAGCTGTGGCTGCAGCCTCTGCAGGAGCGAGCGGTGGCCAGGCTACACCTCCAGAGGGGTTACCATATAGGATGGTGCTTGTTGGGGCTAGGTGGAAAGCAGGACCTTGTGTCTTGTCAGCATTTGGGGTAAAGGAGGGTGGGAGAGGAAGGGCAGTCTCCATCTCCCAGGTCAATTGGGCTTGCCTGCACATTGGGGGCAGTTGGTCAACAGTTTGTGTTGGTGGTGGAAAGGAAGATGGGCCCCTTTCCTGCAGTGACTGTTCCCGTCAATGATGGCTTCAGGGCCAGGAAGCAGAGGCAGTGATCTGGAAAGCAATGCTTCTCCCAAGGCTCTTGGGTACAGAGTCCTGGACTATCTCTTTTGTGTATGAGGGGACATGGTGACCAAGGTAGTATGGTGATGGTGGTTTGACTTGCCCAACACATTCTGCCTCCTGTCTCTCCCTCCGTTAGGCTGGCTTCCTGGCCCCATAGGTGACGCGCTGACTAGGGGAGCCATCCCGTAGTAATAGCCTGAGGCTTCTCTTCCCAGCTGCTATTCCTGTTGGGTTTATGATCAGTCTTTCTGAGATGTCTCACGTCCTGCAGAAACAATCGAAGGCACATTCAGTTTGTGTTATTCGAAGTATCACAGAGTGAGATCTCAAGAGCAAACCTGAGGCCCAAGGACATTGAGTGACATGTCCAAGGTCACACAGATAAGTGCTCAGGCCAGAATTCTTTTTGGTTACCTTGTTGTATCCATGTTCAGGGAGCTGACTCACTTTGAGGCTTGGGCATGGAACACTAGTTCGGTAGTATTTCTACCAGGTCAGTGAAAGCTAACCTGCTGTGGGCAACTCCTGATTCCTTGGTCCACTGAGAGTCTAAATGCTTTAAAATGCTGTTAAGCATTTTAAACAGGAGTCAACTATCCTCTGGATGCCACATGAAGATAGAGTACTTTGACATTTGCGGTAGAAATAAAGTCTTTTGAAATCTCCGACCCTATATCTCTAACAGTAACTGATACTGGACACATCTGACATGTGTTTAATGAAGTTAGTGAGTTTCATCTGTCTAATGTCAGTCTAATATCTATTAATTTCTATATTTACACATGTACTAATATGTAACATATTTAGGATAAGTTTTTTCCTTTTCATTTCGTTTGGTTAATGGTACCAAACTACTCATGACTGTCCAGATTTTTCTCATTTTTAGTGTATCCCATCATTCCATTATATCAGTGACTCAATTTCTGCATCTGTTCTCCAGTCCTTGTGCATACAAATTGTTGATAGTTTTTTCCTATTACAAGTAAATATAGTGAGTGACTAAAGACCATTTTTATTGTTTTTGGTGTTCATGTTTTGTTTAATGTAGCACTTAGTTGTTGAACATGAGCATTTTGCTCACATTTACAGATTTTTGAGGTTTGATCTCAACATTTGATTAAATATATTAGTTAACATATCTGTAAAAAATTTCATACATTCACCTAGATATTTTTAAAAGTTATTACAAAAATAGGAACTATTTATAAAGGCAAATAACCAAATAAACATAAAATCAGCGGAGGAGAATCAAAAAAACTTATCATTTTAATAGGATAGAACCAAAGAAAGTGCCAACACCCAAACATATAAGAAATATGTTTGCTTTTTGATCTTTCCCGAGTCTGGCTGAGGTTCTGTTGCTTTAAGCTTGTTTGCTTTCTGAGATACAGTTGCAGTTGAGCTCTCTGCTTCTCTGGTTCTCCTAATCGCACCTTATAGTCATTTAATAGAAATCTTTCCCTGTTTGTATTTATGCCTCTCATTTTTATTCCATCATATGATTCTATCAGTGAGTTATAATTTATGCAGTATTCTCCAGTCATTCAACATGCGATTTTGATCATTTTCCCCAATTACAAATAAGTAGAATGAGTATTTTTTTTAATAGCTATGAGAACTTGTGGATTGATATTAATTACTAAGTGCCAGTGAGGATCCAAATGAAAAAACAAGATGGCCCTTACTCTCAAGGGGCTTACATTCTAACAGAAAACAATACAAGTGGGGTAGTTGTACCCAGGGAAAGAGATTTTGGACTGGCAAAGATTTTGGACTATCTCAGAGATAGATGATGAGTGGATCCAAAGGGTAATTGATTGACACACACTTTATGGATTTGATTACCCTTCCAAGAGCCCGAGGTGGAAAGGGGGTGGATTATGTGTTGTCAGCACAGCAAGAAGACAGCTGTGAAGCATACTTGAGCAGTTGGGGCTGGCCTAAATTTAATGAACTGTCACTGCTCAAGGCAATATTGCCCCAGGCTGGGACCCAGATGTCCCTTGGGGAGAGCACAAGTATGGCAGGAAAGTGAAAGTATAGTCTGAGTGAGTGGGGCTGGGCCAGATCTGAACTAATAATAGGTTTTCTTTATGATATTTGGAGGGTAAAGGTTTATTCAAGGAGTTACTTGGTCAAAAGGGACACTCAGTTTTGTGATTCATTTTATATTCACAGGTTACTTCTGAAAGTGCCTGGCACACAGTAGGTGCTCAATAAATATTTATTGATTGATCAATGTTTGTGCCAATCTACATTCCCACCAATATATCAGAATAGCTGTTCTACAGTTCCACCCCCATTCTTATTTTTTTTCTTATCTTTGCTATTCTAGTGGTCATATGATGATATCTTTTGGTTGTCTTCATTTTCATGTTTCTGAGTGTAAGTCAATTTGACATCTTTAAATGTAATTTTTTCTTATATTTTTATGTCATTTATATATCCTTTATATACATATATATCCTTTTATATCCTTTATATATATATCTTATATATTTATATCCTTTGACCATTGCTCCATTGAGATGCTGTGTATTTGTCTTACAATTTATCTGTCAAACTTTAATAAATTCTGGGTTTTAGACATTGATCTAAGACACAGTTAAATATATATGATATAAATCTATGTTCATAATGTAGATATAGAGATATATACTGGAAATATTTCTCCCATATTAGTTTCTTTTGTTTACTTTTAGCTGCATTGCTTTTTGTTGCTGTTGTGGACAATTCATTTGTCTGAGTGTAATCAAACCCATTAATTTTGTTTCGAGTAGTTTATTCAACTCACTTGACTTTAAAATGTTCCTTTTCTCCAAGGCAATGGTTTTTATTTATTTATTTATTACTTTTTCTTCTGTTTTTTATTGAAAAGTTTAGTCCAATTAGTCAATTGTTAGTTTTACCTTTTACAGATTCAATTGGAAGGGAATACACATTATGTTGTGCTTATTATTTCTGTTGTTAACTCAAACTTAAAGCCACTTGGAAAAAAAAATTCCCTTTCTCCCATTAAACTATGTGGGCATCTTTAACTTGAACTTTTCATTGTTCAAAGGTAAGAGTTTTGTTTGGGGCTTACCTCAATCGCATTCCCTTTCCCACCTAGCTTCTTCTCTTCCTCCTCCTTCCACACCCCTAAAAGTCTTTTTTCCCCCTCTCATTTCTGTTATATCCCGATAGTTCTTACACTGTTAGCAATTGGTTTATCTGAGAAGTCTGAATTGTTTTAAATACTTATCTTTTTTAATGTGAGGCTCGAGTCTTGCTGGGTCTTGTGGAAGACTTGAGGTGTCTATACCTTTCTCCAACCTCACAAAAGTTGAGTTGTTTTTTGGGTACCTGTCCATCTCTTTCCTTGAAAGAGCATCCAGAGATTTTTCTGAATAGATAGATCTGATTTGATGATTTTGGCTTCTTTATCTCATATGAATTGTATTTTAGCTTGTCTTATTATTCCCTACCCTTGTTGAGGAGTTCTCTATGATCCTGATTTGTTTTTAATAGGCAACTTTTGCTTACTGGTAGATTGGATTCTCCACCCCCCTTATTTTAATGTTGGAGGTTGATTATAATGTGTCTAAGAATATTGAACCTTGGGTTCTTTCTCTTGGAGTCAGAAGTTGAGAACTTCAGAATTCTTTCCATTTGCACCTTCAAAATTACTTTTGCTAATTCTGGGAAGTTTCCATTGATTTTTCAGAATATTGTATGAAAATTATTGTATTTTCCTAAAATTTCTGAGATGTCAGCATTTCTGAAATTGCCCAATTATGATCTATCCTTTGGATCCATCACTCAATTCTGTATGTTTTTCGACTGACCAGATCAGTGATTTTTCTGCAACTATTATCCTCCAAATGATCCACATTTGGCCATAATTCTGCTTTCTGCTGTAGTAAGTGTTGTTAGTTGATTTGATTGATTATTTCAGGTTTTCTATTAAATTCTCCATAGCAATAATTTTCTTCATTATTTCCTACAAATTTTTTAAAGTATCTTAATTTTTGCTGACTTCCCATAATTTTTAAAAACCTTTTTCAGAGTCATCCATTTTTTAATTTGTCTTTGTAATTGTTTGTACTAGTGTTAATGCTTGAAAATTTCTTTAATTGTCATTTAGCCTTTTGCAGATATGTCTCTGGATATCTTGAAATTTCCACGTTTGTGGAATCTGGCGTTATAGCTATTACTATTGCTTTGTAGTATTTTTGTGGTATTTATAGTATCTAGTGCTTTGACCCCAAGGAAAAGGCCAAATAGTTTAATTACTATCAAGCTAGAATAAGAATTTCAGGATGTATTTTATGCAAAATATTATTTTTTTCTCTCATCTTGTATTTATATAATTTTTAAAAATCCCTGCTTCTTCTTTTTTCCTCCAGATTTAAAAGAACTGACGTTAGAAAAATAGCTTTTAAAATTCTGATAGAATTCTTGTGCCCCAAAGTGGTTAACTATGTAAAAAGAAAAAGATTGCACCAATTATTTATTGAGGAGTTACCTTGGAGAGCTCAGATGAATGTACATTTGGCATATGCTCATTTCAGCTTATTCAAAATCAAACTCGCAGAGCGTAAGAAGATGAAAGTTTGCAGTTCACAAAATGCGATGAGGTATGGAACATTTTCCTTGTAAAATGACTTATTACCCACATCAACATGGTTTGTGTGTATGTTGGGTGCTATGGTAAAACACCAACCAGCAAAGAAACAAAGTGACTCCTAGGTTTCCAAAGAATAAACAAACTCTTTCACATTTCCTTACCTGACCATGACCTTCAAATCCTATTCTCTCAATTTGAACTCCCTTGAAAGATATTTTGGATCTAAGATCCCATGTATTTGGGACCTGCTTCTAATGTGAAATTTTGTTGGTCAGTTGTTCAGTCATGTCTGACTCTTTGTGACTCCCTGGACCACAGTACTCCAGGCTCTTTTGTCCTTCACTGTCTCCCAAAGTCTGTCCAAGCTCATATTCGTTGTCTCCGTGACGCCATCTATCCATCTCATCCTCTGCTGTCCCCTTTTCCTTTTGCCTTCAATCTTTCCCAACATCTGGGTCTTTTCCAATGAGTCCCATCTTCTCATTATGTGGCCAAAATATTTAAGCTTCAGCTTCAGTATTTGACCTTCCAGTGAATAACTTGAGTTGATTTCCTTAAGTATTGACTGATTTGATCTCCTTGCTGTCCAAGGGATTCTCAATTTGAAAGCATCAGTTGTAGGGAGCTCAGTTTTCCTTATAGTCCAACTCTCATAGCCATACATTGCTACTGGAAATATAGCTTTGGCTATAGGGCCTTTGTCAACCAGGTAATGTCTCTGCTTTTTAATATGCTGTCCAGATTTGCCATAGCTTTCCTTCCAAGGAGGAAGCATCTTTTAATTTTATGGCTACAGTTGTTGTCTGCAGTGATCTTTGAGCCTAAGAATATAAAATGTGGCACTGCCTCCATTTCTTCTCCCTCTATTTGCCAGGAAAGTGATGGGACCAGTTGCCAAGGTCTTAGTTTTTTTTTTTTATGTTAAGCTTCAAGCCAGCTTTTACATTCTCCTCTTTCACCCTCATCACGTGATTTCTTATTTCTTCTTCACTTTCTGCCATCAGAGTGCTATCATTTGCATATCAAAGATTGTTGATACTTTTCCTGGCAACCTTAATTCTGGCTTTTGATTCATCCAGCCTGGCATTTCCCATGATGTACTCTGCATATAAGTTAAATAAAGAACGTGACAATATATAGCCTTGTTGTATTCCTTGTTCAATCTTGAACCAATAAGTTGTTCCATGTACAGTTGTAACTGTTGCTTCTTGGCCCACATACAGATTTCCCAGGAGACAAGTAAGATGATGTGGTACTCCCATCCCTTTGAGAGCATGCCACATTTTGTTGTGATCCACACAGTCAAAGACTTTACTGTAGTCAATGAAGCAAAAGTAGATGCTTTTCTGGAATTCCCTTGCTTTCTCCATAATCCAGTGAATGTTGACAATTTGATTTCAAGTTCCTCTGCCTCTTTGAAAACCAGCCTGCACTTCCGATAATTCTCGGTTTACGTTTTGCTGAAACCTAGCTTGCAGAATCTTAAGCATAACCTTTTTGGCATGTGAAATAGTGTAGTTGTTCAGTAATTTGAACATTCTTTGGTATTGCCCTTCTTTAGGACTGGGACATAAACTAATCTTTTCCCATCCATTGACTACTGTTGAGTTTTCTAAATTTTGCTTGCATATTAAGTGCAGCACTTTAACAGCATCATCTTTTAGAATTTTAAATAGCTCAGCTGGTATTCTGTCCCCTCCACTAGTCTTATTACTAAAAAGGCTTCCCAAGGCCCTTCACGTTCCTGGATGTCTGACTCTAGATCAGTAACTACACCATTGTGGTTGGTGATGTTAAGATCTTTCTTGTATAGTTCTTCTGTTTATTCCTTTTTTTTTTTTTTTTTTTTTTTTCTTTTTGGTGAGACAATCAGGATTGAGTGATTTGCCCAGGGTCTCATAGCTAGTAAGTGTCATGTGTCTGAGGCTGGATTTGAACTAAGGTTCTCCTGACTCCAGGGCCGGTGCTCTATCCACTGCACCACCTAGCTACCCCTCTTCTGTGTATTCTTGCCATCTCTTGTTAATCTCTTCTTTTTCTGTTAAGTCTCTACTATTTTTATCTTTTATTATGCCCATTTTTGTGTGAAACGTTCCCTTGATAGCTCTTATTTTCTTGAAGAGATCACTTGTCTTTCCCCTTCCATTATTTCCCCCTATTTCTTTGCATTGTTCATTTAAGAAAACCTTCTTATCTCTCCTTGATATTCTCTGGAATTCTGCATTCAGTTGGCTATATCTGTCCCTTTCTCCTTTACCTTTTGCTTTCCTTCTTTCCTCAGCTTTTTGTAAAGCCTCATCAGAACGCCATTTTGCTTTCTTGCTCTTCTTTTTCTTTGGAATGTTTTTTTATTGCTGCCTCCTGTACAGTATTGTGAACTTCTGTCCACAGTTCTTCAGGCAGTCTACCTACCAGATCTAATTCCTTAAATCCAGTCATCACTTTCACTTCATATTCATAAGGGATGTTATTTAGGTCACTCCTCTACGGTTTGATGGTTTTTCCTGCTTTCTGCAATTTCAACCTGTGTTTTGCAATAAGAAACTCATGATCTGAGCCAGTTAGCTCCAGGTCTTGTTTTAACTGACTATATAGAGCTTCTCTACCTTTGACTGCAGAGTATATAATTGATCTGCTTTTGATATTTACCATTTGGTGAAGTCCATATGTAGAGTCACCTTTTGGGTTGTTGAAAAACAGCATTTGCTATGAGCAGCAAATTATCTTGACCAAACTCTGTTAGTCTGTGCCCTGCTTCATTTTGTACTCCAAGACCAAACTTCCCTGTTATTCCAGTTATCTTTTGATTTCCTATGTTCATAGTCCAATCCCCTGTGATGAAGGTGACATCTTTTTTTGGTGTCATTTCTAGAAGATGTCGTAGGTAGACCTGATTAACTTTGGCCTTTTCAGAATCAGTGGTTGGAGCATAGACTTGTATAAATGTGATGTTGATTGGTTTGCCTTGGATTCAAACAGATATCATTCAGTCACTTTTGAGATTATACCCCGGTACTGCTTTTCTCACCCTTTTATTGACTATGAGGGCTGCTCCATTTCTTCTAAGGGGTTCTTGCCCACAGGCGTATAAGTAGTGACTACCTGAATTAAATTCATCCATTCCTGTCCATTTTAAGATCACTGACACGTCAGTGTTTAATCTTCCCGCAGTCTGACCACGTGCAGTTTACCTTGGTTCATAGACCTTACACTCCAGGTTCTTATGCACTACTGATCTTCACAGCATTGGACTTTCCCTTTGTCACCAGATGGATCCACAGCTGAGCTTCCTTTCGGCTTTGGCCCAGGCACTTCATTAGTACTGGGGCTACTTGTGTTTTCCTCTGCTCTTCCCCAGTAGCATTTTGGACACCTTCCAGCCTGAGGGGCTCATCTTCTGGTGTCATCTCTTTTATCATTTTAATATTGTCCTTGGAGTTTTCTTAGCAAAGATACTGGAGTGGTTTGCCATTTCCTTTTCTGATGGATCACCTTTTGTCAGAACTCTCCACTTTGACCTTTGATAACCCTGCATGGCATAGCTCGTGGTTTCATTGAGCTACACAAGGCCCTACACCATGACAAGGCAGTGATCCAGGAGGGGCTGGGGTGAAATAAATACCCATAATTATAAGACAAGAGCAATAGGACCATCGCAACAAGGCAATTCCCTTACAGATCACTCTCCCCCAGGTTTGCAGTTACATTTGCTGATTAACCAAACTCATTGCTGCCACCTTGGTTTTGAATCTTCCTCACTGCCACTCATGGACATTTTTGAAATGAAAGTAGACTCACTTTTGAGAAGATTTCATTGCATTTGGATTCTGCTGGTTTTTAATGTTGTTCTCTCATCTCTGCAGCTTCCGAAGTTTAGACCCTGATACGTTCTCATTATACCACTCTGGGACGTTGTTAGTGGAGGAAAACATTAATGAGGAAGGCTACAAAGCAATACTTGAATTCCTGCTTTCAAGCAAAACAAGACCCAACCTCTTAGGTAGATAAAATGGTAACATTCTTTAGGACTGCCTCAAGTTTTTGTATTTAATTCAGCTTCATTTATCACCTGATGATTTCATGTTAGTATGTTGGTCTGAAAGGAGTGTGACAGAACTGGCAGCAAGGTGGTCGGGTCCAGAGTGGGAATTTGATCCCAGAATCTGTCTGCCTTCCCAAGGGCAGTATGGATTGGGAACAGCATCATGAGTAAAACAATGAAGGAAGGCAGTGGGAATATGCAGATCAGGAAGAACAGGAGTGTGGATGCTAGGAAGGTCTGCATTGGATCCCTCTGAGCAGCTGGCCCTTATCAGATGATGTATCTGAGCCGCAAGGACCCAGCCAGCCTGTCTGTGTCAGGGCATTTGACCTTCATAATTGCCCTGGGGTTCTGCTAAGGTGGAGAGCTAGCCTTGGTTTGGGGAGTCAGACTGGAGTGGGGAGGCTTTAGCCCAGCCTGGTGCCAGTGTTAGGGAGAATGGCAGATCATGAATTCCTGGGGTACTTTAAGGCCTTTGTGTCTATGCACTGCCAGCAAGCCTAGCCTCTGGGAAAGAATCTAAGAGCTGTGTGTGCCATGCTTCTCCTGGTATCCCAACCCTGCTGGCTAAGTAGCTTGGGATTTTGGCTCAGAAAACTCTCCAAAGGCCATTATGGACTGAGATGACTCGGAATCCTCAGGGCTACAAAAGCTGGCTCCTCCTCTGACTCCTTCTCATCCTGTCTCCTTTCTGGTGTGCTTGTGTGAGAGATTGGGGGCCCATAAGTGCAGGAACAGCAGAATTCCTGAGCTCAGAAATGACTGTTCAGTCCTTTTGTGTTGAAAATAGCATCTCATATGGTATATATTGTATAACATCCTATGTGGTATATATATCCATCATCCTGACAGTTCCTACACGAACCTATTGGTGTAACTATTTCTGTATTTGGGGTTTTTTTTATTTGAAGGTTTAAAAAAAAAGTTTGTTCTTAACTTTTACTTATGCCCTGTGCTTTTTTGCTATAGTCATGTCACAATATGTATTCCCACTTTTTTAATTGGATTTTTTTTCAATTAAGCTTTGGGATACCCACTTTCATTCTTTTTATTGTGTTTTCACAGATGCCAAGCCCATTTACAAATGTCTGGTTTCTGCATATGGACCGTCATACATAGAGCTCTGATTACCTTAAAATTTCTCTTTCAGAGCTTTGATGAAAACCGAGACCAGCTAGATCTTGTTAATGAGCCTGGTTATCTAATACCCAGCTCAGAGACCAGGCTAATACCTCAGGGAAATCTTCTCTGTGCTTAGACACAATGCTTTGAGGGAAGAGTAGAATGCCTCTCCTTGGGGTGTGAAGTGAGGCTAGGATTCTCGCCAGATTCTACTCCCTGTCCCTAGAATATGGCATATGCCTTCCAGCCCCTGTATCTCTGTTCATGCTGCTTTTTACTGCCTAGAGAGAATGCACTTTGCTATCCATTCAACCTATACAAATTGCATCCATTTTTCAATGCCCAGCTCAAGTTGTCACTAGAACATTTTTCCTGATTGCCTTAGCACAGTTATCGCTCTTTCCCCCAAAACTCTGACAGCATTTTTTATTTGCCTTGCTTATTTAAACCCTGCCCAGTCATCACTTTATGAAAATGTGGGTGTGGTTGCCTTATGGTGTATACAGAGTGTGTGTATAGTGTATGCCCACATAAGGTAGATGTGTCCACATGGATGCAATTAATGAGTAGCATGGACTAGATATCTAGAATCTGAGACCCTGCCCACTTCTATGCAGGGAGTAGAACCACACAAAAGACAAATAGTGAATAGCAGAATAAATCCATTTATCTAAGCAAAATAGCAAATAGAAATTATGCAGATTAGAGCATGCCTGAGGATATACAAGAGTGAGTAAGATCCTTAGCTGAGAGTAAGATGAGAGAGCTCAGGTTGGAACAGAGAGGAGCTGCGTCTCCCCCAAAAGAATGTCTCCGCTGTCTCTAGCGCGGCAAGCTTGGGTAGCCAGCTTCCTCTGTATGTCTACGGCTTCCAAATTCTTGGTGAAGCGTCCTCTGCCCACGTGTCCCTTGTACCCATTAGGTGGATACGTGGCTAACGTTCTGTCAGTATGATCTCCACCATTCAGGAGTCGTGCTACAAACTTAGTAGTGTGCAAAGTGCCCCAATCTCTTCTGAAAGCCTAGTTAATCAATGTAATCTGAACCTTCTCTAGCGCACACTCACTCAGTTTTAGACTCTTGAGGGAAGTCTTGTATGCCCTAAGGTGCCCTTAGCCTAGGCAAGGTCCTTTACAAATATTTGTTGATTGAAGCTAGAAGGCATTAAACATTACTCCATGGGGATCCCTGATGCTTCTTTGTGGCCCCCTTGGCCTGTGACTTTCTGGGCACCTCCATCAGCCACAAAACCCATCACTGTTGTCTGAATCATTCATTGTCTTGATTGACACAGTGAGTCTAAGAAGAGATACAGAAGGAAAGTTTCCTCCTCTTTGGTCTTTCAGATGACCTGTTGTATAGTGTCTGGGTTCAATTGGTGTCCCCTAGATTTTAATCTCAGGAGAAGAATCCAAAAATTTATTTTTAAGGACCATTTCATTTATTTCCCTCATAAATTGTAAAATCTTTGTGGGCAGGTGCCTTCTCTTGGGTATCTTTGTAACCCATACTCAATGCAGCACAGATTTGCACATAATAAGTACCCAATAAAACACTTGCTGAATGAATGAACACATTAAAAAATGAAACTGGAAGTGGGATGAGCTGGAAGGTTTTGAGAAAAAAAACCCCCACCAATGTATTATGGTTTACTATACTGTAGTAGGCATTTTTTTGCTTTAATTAATTATAGTGTAGTATTGAATCTGAATGATTCAGGGAACATAATCAGCTCTTTAAAACTGATCCTTTTGTCTGTTTGTTTTAGCCATAGATACTGATGGATTCTCTTTTAGCAGCTCCAAAGTGAGTGGAGCAGAAAGCCCTAAGGTGATAGTTTCAGCTGAAGTAGACATTGATGTGAAAGATCGAACAGGAAATCTTGGAGTCTTGGACCACTTTGTCAGAACCTTTTTGCATTGCAGAAGAGCAGTGGTAATGTAGCACCCCTCATAATCTCATTTACTAGTTGATTAAGCATTATCTTTGAAAAGAGCATTGAAATAAGGATGGAACAAGTGTTGTTCAACTTGGTCATATCTTTTTCATGTTTTTGGAAAACTTTCATCTCCTCCCCTCAAATATGACAGGGTGCTGGACTTGCATTCAGGAAGACCTGGGTTCAAATCCTTCCCCAGACACCTAGTAGCTGTGTGACCCTTGGTGAAGTTGCTTAACCATGGCATCGTGATAGTCAGTCAACAAACATATAAGACACTGGACTTGAAGTCAGGAAGACTTGGGTTCAAATCCTGCTTTAGACTCTTGATAGCTCTCTGATCCTAGGTAAATCACTTAACTTCTCTGTTCTTCAGTTTCCTTATCTATAAAATGATAGGATTGGCCTTGGAGGCATTTAAGCTCCAGATCAATAATCCTGTGACATCCCTCAGCCTCTCATCTGTAAAATGAGGTGTTTGGACTCTGAGATGTAGCCCTAGATATGTGATCCTACCACCAGATTTGAACTGTGTTGCCCAGGAAACGTGTAGAACTCCCTCGTGCATACACTAGATATCTGGGGGAAAGCATTCTCTTTTTTGATTGTCTACTAGCAATGACATGGAGCTGGGATTTTGTTTGTGGCTGTAAAATGTTTTGGGGTCCTGCTTTTGTTGGACTCCATCATGTCATGGAGATGACCCTCAAAAGCTCTGCCAGTGGAATTCCTTCCCTGTCAGATTTGACTAGGCAAGGAAAAATTGTAGCGTATGCCTGATGACAAAGTAAGCCTACTTTCAGTGGAGCAGCTCAGCCAAGTGTGGAGAGGCTCATGACCATCAGGTTGGCCACCGGGTAATGAATCCATGGCAATAAGTAAGATGGACAAAGTGGCTTTGGGTGCCTTGTGGCCCTCCTCTGTAGTGGTGATAACAGAATGGTGGTTGAAAGGAGAAAGCCCAGAATTTCTAGATCTCCTTCAAACATGAACTTCACATCTTGCTACTCTAAATGTCAGAATTTTGCCCAGTAAATTGATATACTGGAGGAACAGAACCATTCCAGTGTTGACATTCTTGCTGTAACTGAAACTATCTGAGTACAATTTATTTATTAAGTGCATCTGGCATACACTGGTTATGTGACCTTGGACAAGTGTTAGGGCCTGGGGGGATATGCAGGCCCAAAGGAAACAGTTCCTGCCCTCAAGGCTTTTCCATTTTATGGGAGGTACAACTATTCACAGGTAAGTTAATCCATGGTAATATGAAGAGGGAGAGAGCACTAATAGGAGAGAAGATCCGCTGGACTTCAGAGAGGAGAGGGTGCCCTAGCTGAGCCTTAGAAAAAAGATAAGGATTTTTGGAGAGAGATATGAAAAGGGAGTGCATTGAATGACCTTAAAGGTCATCTAGTCCAACCTATTCCTGAAAAAGAATTCTCACTACACCTCTCTTGACAAGTGGTCACCCTGCCTCTGTTGGGAGACTTCTGGGGAGGGAGAACTTACAATGGCATGGAACTAAGGATGTTTGACCTGAAAAAGAATTTGGCCTCTTTCTGCACAAGGGATGAAACAAAGTGGACTGCCTATTGTCCAGCTTATGACTGGCGGTTGGATAAACAACCTAGAGAACTTACCCAGAATGTAGGATGGACACTGCAAATAGACAAAATGAGCTAAAAACTGAATAGGGGGAGGAAGACGAGAGTGGTCTACTTCATGGGAACATGGATATATTCTCCAGTGATGCATGGAATACTATAGTCTGCATAGAATTGAAGTTGAGGACCACCCAATGGGCAGTGGAAAGGTATACAGTGGGTGTGTGAGCAGACTAGAACTTGGTACAAAGGAAGAATTACGGAGAAGGAGTGAAAGGTGTCACCAGCACAATGACTGAAAAGAGAGGAAATAAGAGATGGATGGCTCATGTCCCAAGAAGAAGGGACAGCCAGTAGGCTTAGCTGGTTGCTATCTGCCTTGTTGGAGGTAATACCCACATTGATAAGATCAGATCCACTTGAATAATGGTGTTGTAGGGAATTCATTACCTTCTGAAACAACCCTTTCCATCTGTGGAGAGCTCTAGGTATTAGGAAGTGTTTCCTTTTATAAAGCCAGAATCCAATCATCTAATAATTATTTACCATTTCTGGTTCTGACCTTCAGAGCTAAGAAAAACAGTTTAAATGGCTCTTTCACGTGGTGATCCTTATGGATAGTTAGTACAATCTCCTGAGCCTTCTCTTTTTTGAACCAAATGTTCTTAGTTCCATCAAGTGTTGATATATCATGATAAGACATAATCTCCAGCCCTCTTCTCCTTGTTATTCTTACTTGGAACAATGAATCTGAAGTGAAGAATCAATTAGGAAAACTAACTCTGACCTTGGGCAAGTAACTATCTCTCTGTGCTTTCGGCTTGTCAGCTAAAAGGTTGATCTCTAAGTCCTTTCTAGATTTTGTGGTCAGTAATTTTATATAAGGCATTATGCTGGATGGCTTGGCTGCATCCCTTTCCCCTCATGCCCCCAAGAGTAGGTTTTTCTTACATAGAAATAGCTTTAAGTTGCAGGCTTAAAGGCTCTCTGTTGACTGTTGGCCTGCCTGGAGAATGAAAAGAAGACCAAAGATCCTCAATAGTCTCATTACCTAAATTATGTCAACAAAACCTTTTTTGAAATTAATTTTCACCCATGATTTGACAATTTATTAAAACGTCCTCTGTGGCATACACACAATTTTTGCTATTTTGGCCAAACTCTGTGATGTAACTGACCGTGTGGAGATATACCTGATGTAGCAATGGTAACGATCATTAATACATTTATAAAACAAGGCCAATGGAATCTGAGAACATATAAAAATGGAGTAATTATTAATTGCTCTCTGTACTTCAAGCTATGATCTTTACACTTATCTCACTGATCCTCCCACGTTGATCAGGCGTGTGTTTCAATGAACAGATGGGGACAGTGGTTCTGTCAGCTTTTATAGAAGTTTAAAGAAAACCCCTATGGAACTGAGGCTAAATGAGAGACAGTGTACTTCCCTTTTATGAAACTGCTTTAAAATTCAGTCTCAATTAATGTTTTTTTTTTTTACCTGTCACCTTTTGGAAATTGCATGATTCATAAACTGAGAGATGAAATAAAAATTAAGTATTTTTATTCTTATTACATATTGTTATGTTACTATATTATTATCCTTAGCCTATTTTAAGAAAAACCTTATGCACAGAGATCGTGACTTACCTAACAGATGAACTGGGAGATGGTTAGATATTATAAGAGGATTCTTCATTTTACAAAAAAGATTTATTGTGGGATTCCTTTAAATAATAATGGTGCTTAATGCTTTTAACTAATATTTATGAAAATTTGATTCCCACACAGGTTTGTTTTTCTTGGAAAGAGGCATAACCATTGGGGGGGAAATCTTGACATAGGATCTTATAGAGTTGAACAGGCTGCCGAGTTTACCCTTCTCATTTTACACATGGGGAAACTGAGGCCTGGAGAGGGTAAGGCTCACTGTTATATAGGAAGCAAGTGATAGAGTTGAGAGTTGAAGCAAAGTCCTTGGATACCAAAGCCAACATCCTTTGTACCATAGTATGTCACTTCTCTCTACGTAATGGATGAATTCACACATCTTTAGATGAAATAGATTGCCCCTTTTATGTAGAGTTGTCTATTCTGTGGACTACAGATTTTATAGGATCCTAGTTCTAGACCCTGAGGGCAGCTCTGAGGTTGTCTGACTACTCTAAAAACCTTCTCTGACCGAAGAAACCGAGACTCAATTTCTTTACATCAGTATTTTGTTGCAGAAAGCGTTTGTTTAAGTCTGTAATACTTTTGGAAACAATGAAGGACTCTACTGTCTGCTTGGGTTAGATTTCCTTTTACCAAAGTGAACCATTGCTTTAATTTTTCTATTTTGCTTTCGGGCTTGGAAGCAGGTCTGAAATATGCAGAAATGTGGATAATAGAGCCCTGAGTAAAGTCATCAGCAATTTCATCATCATCATTACTGGGCTATACCTGTGATTTCATCAGTGTGGGAGACTGCTTGGGTGAAGGACACAGGATGGTAGACATTGACCTGGAATGATTTTTGGAAGTCATTGAGGTTGACATCCCTATTTTATTTATTTATTTTTTTATTTTAGTGAGTCAATCAGGGTCAAGTGACTTGCCCCGGGTCACACAGCTAGTAAGTGTCAAGTGTCTGAGGCCGGATTTGAACTCAGGTCCTCCTGACTCCAAGGCTAGAGCTCTATCCACTGCGCCACCTAGCTGCCCCTAGACACCCCTATTTTATTGATGAGAAGTTTTTTTTTTCCTTCAAAGCACCGGCATTTATCACAGTAAAAAGAGAAGCAACAAATCTTTCCCCCTTAATCCTGGGGCACACTGTCCTACAAATATACCTAGCAATAGTGGGGAGAGTGGACACGAATTGAGGTCTCAGTCAGAGAAGTACATATGCAACAGGCATTTGTGGCCAAGGGGCTTCAGGGCCACAGAGACCCCAGTGTCTTGCCTCTGTTGAACAGTGCTCTGCCATATATGGCTCCACCAAATGCTTTTGGCCACAGCTGCTCTGGAAGCTTTTCCAGGTATAGTTTCCCCTACATCTAACTTCTGACTCAGCTAAAATTCTCAGTGAATACATTGCTGTGCTCTTTCCATCAGCTTGTTTAGAAAGAGTAAGCACGCTTGCCTACGGACCAGTAGAAGGTTCTCCTGTTGGTGCAGACCTTAGGTTTTGCCTTGGAGGCTTGTGTATTAACCATCAAGAGATTCTCAGCTCCAGACACGAAATTCTCAGGAACCAAAGAGTTGGGTTCTCTCTCCCAGCAAGCTCATATCCTTGCTGGCACAAGGCTTGGTCTCTTTAGTGAGAAAACTCATCCTAGTTTATGGTAACCAAAATGAAGGTCAAGTGACTGGCTCAAAATAAGGGTGCCAGTAAATGGTAGTGACCCCATTTGCACCATGATCCTCTGATTCTAGATCCAGCAGTCTTTCCAATGTGGCACACTGCTTCTAAATATTTTTTGTGTTTTATTTTTTTCCAATCACATGTAAAATCAATTTTTAACGTTCATTTTTTAAAAATTTGAATTCCAAATTCTCTCCTTCCCACCTTCCCTCCCCTTCCCCTTCCTTGACAAGGCAAGCAGTTCGATGTAGGTTATACCCGTGTAGTTATGCAAAACATTCCATATTAGTCATGTTGTGAAAGAAAACACAGACCAAAAAAAAAAAAAGACCCACCCAAAATAGTATGTTTTGATTTGCATTCAGACTCCATAATTCTTTGTCTGGGTGTGGATAGCATTTTTCATCATGAGTCCTTTAGAATGTCTTGGATCATTGTATTGCCGAGAATAGCTAAGTCATTCGCGGTAGATCATCATACAATGTTGCTGTTGCTATGTACAGTGTTCTCTTGGTTCTGCTCACTTTACTCAGCATCAGTTCATGTAAGTCTTCCCATGTTTTTCTGAACCATCCTGCTGCTCATTTCTTATAGCACCATAGTATTCCATCATAATTATATACCACAACTTGTTCAGCCATCCCCTCTATTTCCAATTCTTTGCCACCACAAAAAAGCTGCTATAAATATTTTTGTTCATGTATGTCCTTTTCCTTTGTCTTTGATCCCTTTAAGACACACACCTAGTAGCAGTATTTCTGGGTCAAAGGCTATGCACAGTTTCATAAACTTTGGGCATAGTTCCAAATTATTCTCCAGAATTGTTGGATCAATTCCCAACTCCACCAATAATGCATTGTTGTTGGGCTCTTGTTCAGTTGTGTGACCCATGCACTATAGCATGCCAGTGTTGCCCATCTGGTTGTCTTGACAAAGATACTGGTTTGCCATTTCCTTCTCATGGATTAAGGGAAAAAGAGGTTAAGTGACTTGCCCAGGGTCATATAGCTAGTGTGTGAGGCTAGATTTGAAATGTGAGGTGGTACCTTAAAATTTATGCCAGTGTTTTCAATGAGAGAATTTATATCCACACATATATTTAGTTTTCCTTAGCCTGATTCTTATTTGGTCTTGGAATCCTTTGCTTTTTTTCTACAGAATGTGCTTTGAGATTGGACAGTTTTTTTTTCTTTTAATGTAGGCTTTGCATTTTGACAATAACTATGGGTAAGTGATATATGACTGTTAGAAAAAATATGGTGCCTAAAATATTATTGCTTGTTAAAAATATTTCAGTATCTTAGCACTACTTTTAGTTAGAGCTTTAGTTGTTTTGATTCATGCCCAGATGTGCATTAGACACATACTAGGTATACATTAGAAATAATTTCTTTGAAAATCTTTTCATGTCACATAGATGCTTTAAAGAATGCTCCTGACTATGCCCAAAGGGCTATAAAAATGTGCATACTCTTTGACTGAGCAATATCACTTCTAAGTCTGTATCTCAAAGAAATCACACAAATGGGAAAAGGACCCACATGTACAAAAATGTTTATAGCAGCTCTTTTTGTGGTGGCAAAGAATTAGAAATTGAGAGGATGCCCATCAATTGGGGAATGGCTGAACAAGTTGTGGTATATGAATGTAATGGAATACTACTGTGCTATGAGAAATGATGAACAGGCTGACTTCAGAAAAACATGGAAAGACTTGTATGGACTGATGCTGAGTGAAGTGAGCAGAACCAGGAGAACATTGTACACAGTAACAGCCACGTTGTGCAATGACTAATTTTGATAAACTTAACCCTTCCCAGCAATACAAGGATCTAAGACATCTCCAAAGGCCTCATGATGGAAAATGCTGTCTGCATCCAAAGAAAGAGCCATGGAGTTTGAATGAAGATGGAAACATACTATTTGCTCTTTTTTTTTTTCTTCTGTTGAGTTTCGTTTCTTCTTTCTGGTGGTTCCTTCTATTGGTTTTAACTCTTACTTACAACATCACTAATGTGAAAATATGTTTGGTAGGAATGTATATGTGTAGCCTATATCAGATTGTGCACCATCTTGGAGAGGGTGGTGGGGAGGGAGGGGGAGAAAAATTTAAAACCCCAAAGCATATGGAAGTGATTGTTGATAAATCAAAATAAAATTTAAAAAATAAAGAATGTTCCTGTAATTTCATGTTAGCTAGATTAGGCAGTGAATGAAATATTGCCAGCAGTCTCTAAAGGTGCACATGTATTTTAATAACTCAGTGAAGAAAGACGTTTTTCATATCTATCTTCTGGAAACGTAAGTCTACGTTGCATGTTGCTTGTGTTCTAGGTTCTTGCTCATCGTGGTGGCTACTGGACCTTACTTCAGAATGCCTCCCGGATTCTTTGGAACTATGCCTTGGAAGTACAGATGCTCTTTAAGCAGGCACATGTTTTTTCCAGAACATTTCCCCTCAGCAAGGATGCTATTTTATGCACATTTGTGTTGCCGTTTTATTTGACATCGGAAGCTCTCCTTGACATGCTGCTAGACCTGCAGAATAGCAAATCTCTTAAGGTAAGGTCTTTTCCCATTTGTATGATCTCTTTGAGATACAGACTTAGAAGTGATATTGCTCAGTCAAAGAGTATGTACATTTTTATAGCCCTTTGGGCATAGTCAGGAGCATTCTTTAAAGCATCTATGTGACATGAAAAGATTTTCAAAGAAATTATTTCTAATGTATACCTAACATGTGTCTAATGCACATCTTGGCATGAATCAAAACAACTAAAGCTCTAACTAAAAGTAGTGCTAAGATACTGAAATATTTTTAACAAGCAATAATTTTTTTTAGGCACCATAATTTTTCTAACAGTCATATATCACTTACCCATAGTTATTGTCAAAATGCAAAGCCTACATTAAAAGAAAAAAAAACTGTCCAATCTCAAAGCACATTCTGTAGAAAAAAAGCAAAGGATTCCAAGACCAAATAAGAATCAGGCTAAGGAAAACTAAATATATGTGTGGATATAAATTCTCTCATTGAAAACACAAGTTCAGTGACAACTTGTGGGGGAAATGGATATTACAGAGTGGCAGGACTTTAAGAACTAGAACCTGTATGGATTTTGTCATTAGAACTAGAAACTCTAGAAAACACTTAGGTAGATAGATCTTAGATAGAAAGATAGAGTCTTTCTACGATGTCTTTGCTGGAAACTGCTTGATAAGCAGGAAGGAAGATGGTGGGAGGGTCATACAGCAAGAATGATGGAAACTTAATGCTCAGAGTGATTTATACAGGAATATCAACAACCCAAAATTCGGTGAGTTGAGCCAGTACTCTAGCTTTTGTGCAGAGAGGAAAATGTCTAGCATTGCCAGGTTGTGGCGTCAGATTAGATGTGTGTTCTCATCATATTTAGCAACAACAGAAATGAGCGATGATGAATGAATGAATACCTTTTGTTGTACTCATTTAGAGTCCTTTCAAGAATTCACAGCTTGGGGAAAATAGAAATTAATTTTTCTTGTGTTTGTATTTGGTTTCATTGTAGTCCATCTGTTTCTCATAATTATGTTGAACATGATACTTAGCTTTTACTGAAGTGAATTTAAATCGTGTTAGCATTAGAACTCATTTACAAACATGTACAACAAACAATTACAACACTACAACATTAAAAACGTTTACAAACAAAGAAATCAATGCTGCTCTACTGTCACACCTTTGGTGAGTTCTAATTATTTGTGCTCATCCCAGTTGTATTTCTATCAAAGTGTGTGATGTAGGACAAGAGTCGTGAAGCTAGGATTTGAGGGGGGGAAAGACTTGGCCCTCGCTTGCTGAAGTAATTCCAAGCCTGGAAGAACCAGGTAACTTTTGTATCCAAGCACAGAATTGGAAAGCGTAATAAATTTGGAAAATAAAATGGATTCTGTCTAAACACTTATGCCTCTTTTTAGTGACTGAGCAGAGGATGAGCAAGTGATGAGAGCAGCTGTTCCTCTGCCCCTAACCAATGAGAATTCTGAGAGAAAGAGACCATGCCACCCTAGGCTTCATTAGATCCAGAAAGGGGAATTCTGGGCATGGTTAGCCACATGCTGGAGACCTTAGGAGAGCAAATTTCAAAAAGCTCAGAGAGAAGACGATCCTATAGTCAGAGACTCCAGAAGGGTCCAGAGGCTCTCCACAGCAGGATTTTGATGTTGGGATTGAGGATTGTCCTAATGAAGAAAAAGATGAGAAGCATCTAAAAGAGAGATGTGGTAGGGGTGCGGGTGACGTGGGAGTGAAGGCACACTTACAAATAAATAATGTGTTTAATTGGAAGCAAGGGCATGTAACAAAGAAAGAATCCAAAAAAAAAGTAAAACCCTAGCACAGACCTGCATGAATCCTATAAGAGTAAATCCTGTGGGGAGGTGAGGCTTGGAGGAGTGATACGTTACACAGGAAAGATACGTTGAACTATGTTGAGGACAAGAAAGGGAATGGCTATGATTTCAGATCTGTATCCTCTATCAGGAAGAAAGCTCTCAAGATTGGAAAGGGTGGGTAAGAAGGCTTTGGAACCAAAGATAAATGGGGAGATATAAGAAGGCACCTTGGAACTCCAAATCAGTCCGTGTCTCATGGCCAGGGTGAACTCTCCCTGGAGGTGTTGAAAGAATGTTTATCAGGAGGAATGGGAAGAGGGAACAGACATTCCTGGAGTGCCTCCTGTGTTCCAGGAAGGGTTTTATCAACATTATTTAATTTGATCCTCACAACAACCCTATGAGGTAGGGTGCTGTTATTATCTCCATTTTACAGATAAGGAAACTGAGGCAGACAGAGGTTAAATGAATTGCCCAGGGCCAAGCAGCTGCTACGTGTTTGAGACAACATTTGATTCCAGGTCTTCCTAACTGGAAGGACCAGTGTTCTATCCACAGAGCTATCTAGCTGCTTTGTAGAAGACGATACATAACGTGACTAATACGGAAATGTTTTGCATGACTGCACATGTATAATCTATATCAAATTGCTTGTCTTTCAAGGAGTGGGGAGGGGAGGAAGGGGAGGAAAGAATTTGTAACTCAAAATTAAAAAAACCATGAATGTGAAAAATTTTTGTTTATATGTAATTGGAAAATAAAAATTAAAATTAAAAGGAGATGGAGCCTTGAAGGAAGAGAAAGACTCAGTGAGACGGAGTGAGGAGGGAGTGCATTCCGGGGACCGAGAGAATAAAGGAACCAAGGTGGGAGAAGGAGTGTTTGTTGTGTGTGAGGAGCAGAGACAGGTAGGTCATGTCCAGTGAGGCTGTAATAAAAAGATGCAATCCATTATTAGAGGCCTCCAAAGCCAAGCAGAGAGGTCTGTAGTTTATCCTAGAGGCGATAGGGAGCCATTGGGGATATTTAACTAGGTTGTCTCCATTTGTATTTAATCTCTGTGTGCATATATGTGTGTGTGTGTGTGTGTGTGTGTGTGTGTGTGTGTGTGTGTGTGT